AAAATTAGCTGGGCGTGGTGGTGCACACCTGTAATCCCAGCTACTCGGGAGGCTGAGGCAGGAGAATCACTTGAAGCCGGGAGGCGGAGGTTGCAGTGAGCCGAGATCGCACCATTGCCCTCCATCCAGCCTGGGAAACAAGAGTGGAAAAAAAAAAAGAAATAGAGAAGGGGCCAGGAGTCATTCTCCATCCGTCTTCTCTTTCTCCCCTGCACTTTTCAAGTCATTACACTACTTATTTTCATTGCCGGGTTTCATCTGTTCCCTCGTCCATGAACGTGAACTCCTTGAGGGTGGAGGTGTCTGTTGGCTTTGTTCACTGCTGCTCCCAGCACCTGGAGCCTGAACAGTGTTCGGTGAATGCTTAACATCCAAGTGTTTCTTGGTGTTGTCGACAGAATTATGCCCCCGCCCCAAGATGTCCGTGTCCTAATCCCTGGAAGCTGTGAATCCCATTATGTGGCCGGGAGAATGAAGGAGGCAGATGGAATGAAGGTTGCTAATTAGCTGACCTTCAAACAGGGAGATGGATTATCCTGGGTCACTGGGGGGCCAGTGTGATCACAAGGGTCCTCCAGTGTGGAGGAGGAGGCAGGAGAGAGAACAGAGAGATGGCATGAGAAGGACTCAGGTCTCTGCTGCTGTCTTGAAGGTGGGGGAAGGGGCCACGAGCCAAGGAACGCAGGCAGCCTCTAGAAGCTGGAAAGGCACAGACTGGATCCTCCCCTTCCTCCCCTGGAGCCTCCAGAAGGAACACGGCCCTGCAGACACCTTGATTTTAGCCCCATGAGGCCCATTTCAGACTCCTCTGACCTCTAGTGAGATTATAAACCTGCATTATTTAAGCCACTTCCCACCTACTGAGCCCCTGGTGGAGATAAAATTCCCTTAGTCAGGGTTTACAACCAGAGTCCTGGGCAGGGGAGGGCACGGTGGGAGCAGGGGGCACATCTCAAAGTCTGACTAGAGGCACGGTGCTCCTACAGACCCACCTGAGTCCGGCTGGCATGGTAGCTCCAGGGGAGCCCTGGGGCCGGGGTGGTGCAGGTGGCTGGCAGATCCCTCCTCGTCCTCCAGGAAGCCCAAGCTCTGTGGGGCCCCCTCAGCCACTCAGGTCTTTGGGGACAGAGTCACAGGTTCCTGTCCTCCGCAAGGGGCCCAAGAGCCTGGAGCTGGGCCACCCTGGTCCAGGCAACAAGGGGTCAAGGCAAGGAAACAGCGGTGGGGCACATGGTGGGTCAGGGCAGCTGCAGAGCGGCTTCCCATAAACAGACTGGGACAGTGGGTGTCCCTGTTCCACAGCATCCAAGCTGAGTGACCTTGGGCAAGTCACACCCCCTCTCTGAGCCTGCGTGCTTG